GACACCAACCCATGGTGGTCTAGTGGCTGGAACTCAGTGCTGCCCCTGCAGCCTGGGATACGTTCCTGGTGGGAGACTAGGCCTGAAAATCTGAAATTACCGTATCAGTGATGGTAGACAAGATCAGAAAAATTAGAAAAGAGGTGCCACAAGACCAGAAACCTGGCTCACACAATGCCAGGAGATGAAAGTGGGGGAAAAAGGGATCAACACAACCATTAACCTAGCTATAGGAACTTAACCATTAACCCAGCTGCAGAAGCTAAATTTCCTTAGGTGCCAAGAGAGTGTCAGGATCACATACCAGAGGTAAAGACACTGAGATTAAGTGCCATTGTAAATCCTCCTGGGACCTTCCAAAATTCTACATGGTTTTCCAAAAATCAACAACAAACAAACCACTCCACAGAGATGAGCCCGTCCCAATCTCTGCACTGGCACGGGCAGCAGTCCTTCTGCCTACCTGTGACTGTGCATGTGCTTCCTTTCACCAACATTTTCCTTTTTAAAGATTTATTTTTATTTATACAAGAACTGGGATACAGGCCAGAGGCGTGGGAGGGCGAGAGGATTCACCAGAGACAGAGGGGAGCAGAACAGGCAGATGGACCATAGACACTGCTGAGGTTAGCAGCAGGTGAGGCAGGAGAGGTCTGCCGCGCCATGTGGGATCACCTCCCTGGCCAGAACCCCTGCTGCAGAGGCTGCGGACAGCTTCACAGTGCTGCGGTCAACCTGCTGCGCCTCCGGGGAGGCCCAACATTTTCCTTTTGTAGAGCAGGGCAGCAGCTCTCTCACCTCCCTGTGACCTATGACCATGCCAGTGCTTCTCGTCACTGCCCTCCCTCGGCTGAGGCAGTTCTCCTCCCAAGGCTGCCCACCTGCAACCATGCAGGCCTCTCTTTTAGCAAATCTATCCCTTTAGAAGCTCTTTCTGTCCACTTGTATCTATGCAAGTGCCCTTTTCTTGCTTCGCCTTTTCATAGTAAACCTGCTCTTTTGGATATAACTAACGTATATGTCATGGAGAAACTCATCTGGGAAACTCGCTGGTGCTGCTGAAAGGGGAGCTCTGGTGAAATGTTTCCCAGAGTTAACCCAAGGACCCCACTCTCCAAATCCAGTGTCTCGAAAAAAAGACTTCAGTAGTGTAAGGGTTTCTATAAACATGCAATGTGAGCATAGGAAAGAACTTGATACTGCTTAGAGAGATCTGCTTGGAAAGTGTCATTATTGAGTAAATTAAAGCAGGAAAGAAAATTGAACCGGAAACTAACTTCATGTCTCACTTCATGTTCTGATAGGGAAACTGAGGCTCTGAAAATAGGAGTTTCAGTTTCTCTATCTTTTAAGTGGATGGAGAACAAGTGAACTATGGGTCATTGAACCATCAGTTATTTTATAAGTAATGAGGATAAAATTTTATGGATAAAATCATTCTCATTACTCTTTACTTTCTGAAGGACAAACCAGTTTGATAGGATAATCAGTGAACTGCAAGGAAAGGCAACTCTCAAAGTTATCAAGTTCTCGAGAGTCAATATCAAACAAACTTGGTTTTTGGAGAGACACTTAGTTGTCTCCTATAGATGGTGTCTTCATTTAATAAGAGGAGGCAGGTAATCCAAACTCAGTACAATTCTAAAAACATTTTAATGTCTGTGTTGTAAAGTGAGTATGCTGGGATGAATACAATTTGGGACACTGAAAAGAGCTGGCTATCGTGGTGGTTTTTGAAATCCCCACCGTCTGTGACAACTGGTTTTTGTAAAATTTAAGGAATTGACAATTCCCAAGCTCTGAAAACCTCTGTCCATAACAGAAAGTGGATTTCTGCTTCAGGGAAGCAGTCTGCTAGTTTATGTCTGATTGTACGGCAAGCAATTGAGTTGTCATCTTTCTTGGAAGCATATTTCAATGAGCAAGTTCTCAGACACAAACAAACAAACAAACAAACAAAAAGTAAATAAATTTTTTGTTAGGGGCCTAATAGTATTTGAAGCTAGTGAAGCCCCTAAGGTAAGGCTGACAGAGGGAAAATTGGTGTGCACTCCAGTCCTGGATACTATGTCCAGAGAAAACGTGCGGTGCATTGAAATAGACCTTGGACTTAGAGCCAGAGGTGTAGTTCAAGGATCAGTTCTGCCACTAAGTGATTATGAAAGCCTTTTAACTCCCTTAGTCTTTGCTACTTCCTTTATCTTTAAAATGGGTTTGCTTGTTCTAGCCCACAGGATTTTTGTGAAGATCAAAGGAAGTAACTGATGTGAAAATACTTATGAATTTCAATGTTACCATGGTAACATTGGGAGATGAGAAAAAGGGATTGCGCCAATGTCAAATCCAAATGTTGTGTTTAATTTCTGGTCTGCTTATGAGAAATAAAACGTTGCTTTCTTACTGATTCATGAAATGAAAACATATGCATTCACAAATTTTAGAAGAATATATTGTGAAGTAGGATTCACAAGGGTGCATAGCAATATGGAAACAGAAATAAGAATAAGAACTTTTTGAAAAGTTAAATCTTTCATTAACATATAGTAAAATAACTACCTATATGTCAGGTACTATGTTATCACTATACTTCTTCACTTTAACAAGACTTTAAAGGGTGCACAATTTTTTAGAACTGAGGGATCGCATAGATCTTTGAGTACATGTGTAGTTTATTTTTATTTGAAGTTGTCTTAATATAGAAGTGACACATGTAAGAAACACAAGGAAACAATTTAATTTATAAGTATTTTATTTTTTTGCTTAAAGGTCTATATCAGAATTACTCTGTAAAAATAATAACACTAGGAATAGGATTCTATTCCAAGATAGAAGCAGTACTTTAAAGCTAAACATTTTGACAAGAGCTAAGATTATGTTTAATAATAAGGAAAGAATTTTAGGCTGGTTTTTAAAGATTAATTTGTTAATTAGGTGAGCATCTGGGACTTGGCTCATCACTTCCCTTGGAAACCTTGATTAATTTATGAGATTTTCATCCCCATTTACTAAAAAAGCAGTGAGTCATCTGGTGTTACACCCCAATGACAGCAAAAGTTAATTGGATTCTAGATCCTTTTACATTTCTCTCTTCAGCAATTCCTTGCTGCTTTGAGTGGAACCATGCTCAAGGAAAGTCTGTGTATTTGTGTGTGTGTGAGAGAGAGATACAGAAATGAGAGGAATTACAAGTGATTGAAAAATTAATTAAAAAAAAGGAGTACGGGTTTGTATTTTCTTTGGTTTGTGGTAAGAAGCTCTTGAGGGACACACACAAAAAACCAAACCAAAGACAAAACCAAAAACTAATATAATCAGTTACCTTGGTGAATACTTTGATTTGTAAATCATATGAGAGTATAATTATATTTTAAAGAAAATGCTGTTTAAGATTGGGTATGGTTTAAAGTGTTCCAGCCTTGTGTCTAGGAAGGGGAATAAATTGTTGCAGATATAGCTCATTGTAGTTAGTATTGACCTTCCAAGTCAGCAGAGAGGTGACTTTAAGGAGAACAGCCCCAAGGAAGGGAGGGGGCTCAAGAACAAAAGAGGGGAGAGAGATGAAAGGACCTGGGGTGGGTGCCTGACTGAGAAAACTACCTGCTCTCTCCTACTACCCCTGCAATGGTATTGTGACAACCTTTCTTAGGCACTGACAATTACAAATTACATTCAGCTTCTAAGTTACCCTAAATTACACCTCTATATATGCTTTATGATCTCCATGGTACAAACCAAAATTCACAGATGAAGGGAATTCATTCATCCTGGTTATTAACCTCATTTCTGTTTTCACATTGCCTTTGTAAACTCCTATTATTTCTTCATCCTGTTTTATCAACTTTATTTGGGGTAGGGGAAAACACATTGTATCTTGTTATGCATTTTTATGAGCTACCACATATCCTTTCTGGAACTGGAAAGAGTATGGATAAACATATGCATAACTAATCGAGGAAAATGCTGATAGGTTATTTCTGAGAAGTGAGATTACATGTGATTTTATTTTATTTTTCTAGCTTTATTGAGACATAATTAGCATATAACAGTGCAAGTTTAAGGTGTGATGATTAGGTACACACATATATACCTTGCAAAATGATTACCACAATAAAGTTAATACCACACCCATAACTTATAATTACACATTTTTGTATGTGCTGTGAGAATATTTAAATAAAATACTCTCATGATTTTAATTATCTTATGGTTAGTCTTTTGCCTTTCCATATATATATATGTAAATATTTCTTATATTAGTAAATATAGTCCTGTGTCTTTCTTTTTAATAGTTGCAATTTGAACTATTATATGGATTGAATGTCATTTATAAGCTAATTCCTTATTGTTGGGTATTTGAGCTGTTTCTATCTTTATTTGGTGGCATTGCCAGATTGGAGTGTTTGTCATCAGCATTTTTTAAACATAAATACTCATCTTTCATCTCTAAGATACACATTGCCCCCTGGGATCTCGCTACACCCTGCAAAGAGCTGCCTATTCCATCTTGTATACCTCTTTCTCTCTAGGCCTCGGCCTACCTTCCTCCTCACAGAGCTCTGCAACCTGACACTTTGTTTTATCCGCTCCTTTTTAATATAGTTTTATCTAATGAACACTATTATCTGAATTGGATTTTTCATTTGGGATTTGTAAAATGGTATTATAATTCTACCACTTGGTCTTTGATATTTTTAAGAGCAATATGCCAATAGAGAGACATTTCCCAGAATCAACAATTTAATAAAGTAGAAATTTCAAACCTGAAAAAAAATATGCCATGAGAGAGTAAGATTCTTATTTTAGTAATCCTCTTAAATTTACACTTGATTGCACATTGGAAAATAAGGATTAAAAAATCAAATTCTACAATTTCACTTTTATGTAAATGTTTACCATCTATAAGATAAAAAATGGACATATAAAAGCAAAACCAGAATAAATTATTTGAATCCATCTTTCCTTGAGCAAAATAAACATGAGACTTTAATAAGTCATCTACTTCAGCATTTTACAAGTTTTTCAAAAACACCATTGGTTGACAGAGTTGACAGCCTAGGAGAAGGCACATTCTTGCTTTTGTGGCAACCATCCTTATTATTCAGTGGGTCACATAACAAGAATATTGGGGGTGAAATTTGAAAAGCGAATACAGCAATCTTAACGGTAATGACAATTTAATAAAACAGGTTGTTAAAAATTTTGCAAACATAAAGTTTCCACATTTGTAGGTTAGATAGTGTCAATGTTGAAGAAAGTGAAAGTTCTTTTTAGAGAAATGATACAAAAACAGTGATTGGAAAGTCCCGTCCTTTTCTTCCTCCCAGTCAGCCTGTCCATTGAGGGATAGTTCCCCTCCACACACCTCTGTAGCACAGTATATCATGTGCATGTGGGAAACCTGCATCCAATTTTTATCAATGACTCTATTCTGCATTTAAGAGAAGCAATGCGTAAGAGGAATTTGGCTTGATTTCTTCACTGATTCCAGATGAATATACATTTTCACTGTTTTTTTCCTCAAAATGTTCCTTCATTATTGCACTGCTCTGGCCAGGAATGCTCCCCTGTTGATGAGATGTAGTAAGATATGTAAAATGTCCTATAGATTTTACAGTTCTATAGGTAGAAGAACCCTAAATTATTTTATTGTTTTCCATAGCTGCAAATAATGTGTTTTGAGCTAGTACAAGGAAATTACATTTATAAACCAATAAGCATAAAAAGAAACCAATCACTAAATTCTGCAAATAAGTTCCTTTTGAAACCAAAGGTTGTTTACATGTATGTCCTGTTTTTTAACATGAACAGCCATTCTTGGGTTCAAGAAAACTGGACAAGAGCATTTAATGAAGTCAACAGATAGCATTTAAATAAATGTGACCATAAGTTCAATAAACAAATAAACTAGACTGAGAATAAGAATATGAACACAGGCCAACTACTAGTTTGTTAAACACCAGTTAAATTAGGCAACAGACACATGTAGGAACAAAAACATAGTCTAAGAGGCAAACAAATAATCTTTTGGGCTGTTTTTCCTATCTCGGAAGCAACTGTCAAATAGAGGTAAAGAGAACAGTAAAATGCTATTCTGACATAATCACTTTGAGAACAGGGGATAGGCGAAATTCAGCAGCCACCTGTCATTCTACATTATTCATGACATTAGTTTTTGAATTTAATTGGGCCTAGAAAATAAAACCACAGGCAACGAAGAAGAGGAAAATGGTCTCTGCATGTATGGGCAATATTTAGTAATAGAGGAACATATATTCTGCTAAGGACTGCCAGCTAAAATAAACAAACAGGAGCTCCACTAAACTATGAAATCTTTAAAAGACTAAGTCTTCTTTAATCTTTATCCCTAGCATGTGGTTAATGCTCTGGAAATGTTTGTGCATTGATTGTAAATAAAATAAGTGCAAAACAGTTTCTGACAAAAAGAAAACATTCCACACATTTGTTTTTAAGATTTAGAATTTGTAATATAAATCTGTATTCAAGGAAAATAATATTTAAAAAGTGTTGCTGCCCTTTAGGATAAGTTGGAAGAAAGACAGAGGAGGAAAAACTGTAAAGATATTAGAAGGAGACAGTCTTAAAGTGAAAGACAAGAAAAGAGAAGGGCAGTTTCAGGAAGGAAAGATGTCAAAGGATGGAGGTGAAAAAGAGTCACTGGAAGACAAAGATGCACAAAGGCAAACAGGAAAGACTTCAGGAGACAGGTTAGAAGGAGAGAAAAGTGAGGCCATGGAGACTGGAGGTCACTGGGGTTGGGAATGTGAATGGTTTCCTGGGTTGACTGCCCTCCCAAGAAGCACATCTTCAACAGCAGTTTTGAACAATCCTTTATATGCTTGAAAAGAGTATTTGACTTTATTTATTTTTAACCCCCAAAGTTTATTTCTGAAATAAAGTTTAATATTTCCTTGAAATTCTTTTATTTTTTTTAAAGGACAGGTTTTTTTTTTTTTTTTTAAAGATTTATTTATTTATTTATACAAGCACTGGGTACAGTCAGAAGCGCGGGAGGGTGAGAGAATTCACCAGAGCCAGAGCGGGGAACAGAACAGGCGGCCTAGTGAAACACACTCCTGAGGGGAGCAGCGGGCGTGGCAGGAGAGGTCTGTCTCACCATGTGGGACCCTTGCTGTCGGCTGGGGATCAAACCAGTGCTGCAGAGGCTGAGGGCAGCTTTGCAGCCCAGTGCTCAACAGCTGAGCCACCAGGGGAGGCCCTATTTCTATGAAATTCTAAAGATATCGATCATGTCTGAAAGCAGTCTAGTTTTAGAGAGTGATTTTTTTTTTTAATTTAGAGAATCATTTTTTTTTTTTTTTACCTGCAGAAGCAACCTAATCACTTTATTTTGTGTTCTGAAATTGTAGCTGTTGTATTCCACAATTTAAAATCAACATTTATTTCATTATTGGGAGTTTTAAAAGGAAAGTCACAAGTTTACATTTGGTTTATTTCCTTTCTAATGGTGAAAATTGGTATTTGGAACAAAGGACGTATAGAAAAACAAATTAATTTAAATAGAAAATAATTTTATTTGGATACAATCCTAAAATTAAGAAGCAGACATACTCTTCAGATTCTTTTTTTATATTTAACAAAGAAAAATATCCCTTGATTTTGTAGTCCAGAAAGTAAAGAGGGTTAGGCATTATTTTAGTGCTTTTTAAAAAATTGTCATAAAATTATATTCCACTCTTGTCTTCTACTAGATTAGTAACAAAATGTTAAAAAGTTTTTTCTTTGAAAAATTTCTAACCCCATGAGGATCTGTTCCTATTTTAGCTGTCTCCCTTTTCTTTGGGATCCCTGGGATAAGAAGGCATGTGCTGATGGGATCTTCTGAGATCCTCTCTCTAGTTATTTAGCTCTTAAATAAATGCCTACTCATCCCACACCCCAGGACTGGGTCTCCTTCCCCTAAGATGATTTCCCAAGCAGTCATCCACTGCTAGCTGTTATGTTTTATATTTACCCTGAGGTGTGCATGAATAACTTTGCTACAACTGTTTTCTATTGCCAGAGGGGAAGTTCCCGTGGGTAGTTATTGGTGTTCTTTTCAAAGTCAATAAAGGGCAAATAAAGAAATGAAGGAAGATGATTTGTGGCAGTTATGCCTCCCAGCAGTGAAAGCCCACAAAAAAAGGGGAAGTTCATTTGATTATTTCAGAAAGCTGCAGGCTTAATTTTTCATGGTAGGGAAGGGAGGGAAACTCCTTACTGTCAGCCTTGAGGTTAACTGGCAAGTAGTTTCCTATCTTTGGCCTCAGATCAGGGTTTATCCTCACTGTGGTGGTCTTCACTTGGGGGTAGACTACTTTGAATCTATAAGAAGTTGGGCATTTGATGATAATTGTGCTGTACACATTTTGTAGGGTTTTTCCCTCCCTTGTCCTATTGGTGGTGACATCATTGTGGCCTTAAAATCACCACCATAGCTACTAAAACTCACCAAAATAACCAAGATGGCTGAAGAATTTTTTCATACCCAGGTGTGGATTCCTGGTGGGCTATGTTAGAGTCTAGAACTCTATCTTGTTGATTGGCCTATAGGCTTTGTCCCAGAAGTTTGCCTCTTGTGTTCTTGAAATTATTTTCAGGTGGGGAAGTATGTTCAACTGTGGAACAATTGCAATTGCTTATTTTAATATTTTTCCTGAGTCTCTCAATAAGTTCTGAGAAAACCAGGAGTTGAAAGTAGTATCACCAAAGGTAAGTTTATACTTACTCTGGATGGTCTTCTTGTTGGGCAGGGATGTGCTGAATAACTTCATAAATTGTACTGTGCAAATCTTGCACTGATACACCATCAGAGGCTAGAATAGACCTACTGGACATCTAGAAAATATGACACATTAAAAAAATTAGCATATGAGTAAGTAGTATTTCCACCATGTTTCACAGATAAAAACAAGTGGGAATAGTAAAGGTTAGAAAACCAGACTATTAAACTTCCCTACAATGGTCTTTTCCTCCCTACTGTAGCTCTCAGCACTTACCCTATGGTAGTTTGCTCAGCAACATAGCTACAAAGTCAGAAGAACAACAGGTTGACAACTCTAAAACTTTTTTTCTTCACCTAAGAAGAAAGTTAGCAAAACTATAAAGGAAATGTAATAGAAAGAAACAAATAGCAAAACGGGAGACAGCAGGACAGCTTAGAGTCAGAGAGCATATATTACAATCTTTTATATTTTATCTCTATTACTTTTTATATACTATTTGTCAGTACTATGAGCAAGGATGACAGAAAAGAAAAAATAATGTACAGTCAAGTTATCATTGCACGGAAAATGAGTAAAGACAGTACCAAGTAATATAGAATACATAACGGGAGAAATTTTGGTTTGAAAATAGTAATGGGCTCTAAAAACTAATGGCTTGGATGAAACTGGAAAGTACAGAAACATATTTCTGCCTGGTGAAAACCAACAAGTATTTTATTGAAGCTGGCACTTATGTTTTAATAACTCTCATTCCTTATATTTTATAATTTTCTTCTTCCTGCTAACATTACTTTCTAATTATTCAGCAAAAATCTATTCCCCTCCCCACCCCAAACTGACCACTTCCAGTCCATATAAAATATACCGCTTCACTTAGAGGACTTTGCCCTTGATAAATTTTCTCCAGCAGTTTTCCATCTCATTCCAAATTCGACCCGCTAGGTTATATTGGAACATCTTAGCTTTATGTTTTTTCTGGTAACTGCCTGTTTCTATTCCACTTACTAAGGTTCTCAAGGGCAGACTGAGGATATATGATTTGTCCTATCATTTTTGTGTCAAGGAGATTTGGTTTAGAGCCTTTACTTGAGATCAACTCTTGATTTTCTATGGTACTGAGATGTTCAGAGGATATATTAAAGGCAATCTGTAGATAATAACTAACTGGTTGAACCTAGTATTATAGCTATTAACACACAGTTAACTTGTTTATTATGCCACTGTTTTCTGTTCAACTTCCAAAACCAAAATAAGCACTAAATGGATAAGTGCTAAATAAGTGCTGAGTGAAATGTACAACAGGTAGAAAGAGAGGAATACTCTATGTGTACCACAACAAGCTAAGAGATGATTCTTATTTTTAAAAATACAAAAAATAACTCAATATATTTCTCTTCTTAACTTCAATTTTGAGACCTTGGGTTTATAATTATTTTCCTTTATTCTCTCATAACCATTGTATGTGGCTGTTAGCTTTACGGAGAACTGTCATTCAGGTCCCAGTCCTCATCCTCTTCCTTCAATTGTTGGTGTCGAACTCTCATTGTAGGGTAAGGTAAAAGGTATCAGGCTTTTCTGCCCTCCCGCCATCAGGATAGATGAGGGAACCCTGTGATCCTGAATGCATGCCTGATGGCGGGCACCTGAAGTGGGTACACCTGCGCTAAGACTGCTTTTTAAGGGCGGTGTCACAGGGACGCCAATAGAAGCCAAGAAGCCAAGAAGCCATGAAGCCAAAGAGAAGCCAAGAGAGAAGTAAAGAAGCAGAAGCAGAGAGCCCAGAGAGAGTGCGGATTTGCTGGGGGCTGGGAGGCTGGCAGGCCTCCCAGCCCCCCAGCACCCTGCCTGCCATATGCCTGATAATCCCAATAAAAACCTGCAAAAGCCCAGTCTGCATGGGATTAGAAAACCTGCAGTGTCCAATCCTGACCTTACAATTGGCGTAAGTCGGCAAGATAATCCATGCAGACGGGTATTGGAGCCCTCCGGAGACCTGGAGGGACTAAGGAGTAACAGTGTTTGCCCGTGACGACGCCAGAGGCATCATGGCGACCCAGGAGATGGACAATGTCCAGGATCTATGGAATAAGACCTCGCCCGGAGGAGGAGAAGGAGACGCCCAAGAGAACCAGCCAACGACACCCGAAAGGACCAGCCAAAGACCCCTGAGGCAGCAAGAATCATCGGCAAAGAGAGGACCAAGATTTGGAGCTCGCCAGTGCTGATTCAGGGAGAGGCCAAGAGACTTGGACTGATGAACTGACAATCCCACCAGAAGGCTGAGGACCTTGCAGGTTGATATGTTTTGGGACCCTGGGGGTGGAACAGTTTTGTTTGTAAACCCCAGGAGATGGGAATCTGGGGGTGGCCAGTGGGCCTTGATGGCCAAAAGCAGCCTGTGTATGCCCAGCATCTAGGCGGAGGAGAAAAGCCAACTGAGAAGGCAAAAGCTGGTGCTGATGCTAAGTTGAGAAGCCCTGAGTGGCTGTTAAGCAGCCTGAGTATGCTGAAGACCTGTGAGTCTCGTAAAATCACCTGTGGGTGATGCCCTGCTCGTTCTTGAGTGAGGGTGAGGAGCTGAGGAACCCGTCCTTGAGGGACGGGTGGGGAACGTGGCTTGGGGTGGAGCCCAAGCCGCATGTAGAGTTTGGATCCCCGACCCATGTGCTTGTGCAGTGGGTTGGCCTGAGTGCAGGGGTCTGCATGTCGCATTGGTGGCTATGAAGGCCGAGTGTTGGAGCGACTGCAGACAGAAACCCTGAGGGTTGGCGATTACCCCCAATGGAATAGAATCGCCAATCCCAGAGCTAGTGCATCCTGGGGGTGGATGCGGTGTGCGGCTTGTAGCCGAGACTTCAGCCAGAGAAGGCCAGGAAGCCCGATGGCTCCTGGTGTGTTATAGTAGATGCCGTGAGTGATTCCCCTCCCTCGTATGAGCAGTGCCTTCGGCAGCAGATTTGGTGGCTCATCTGCTGGTACCAATAATTGTCTTTTGCACTAGGTTGGGGCCCTGCCTGGACTTATTTGTGTTCTGTTGTATTTTGTTGTTATTGTGATGTATTTGCTTTTGTGGGCCATGGCTGCATTGTTTATGTTTGCTAAGAGACAAAATTGTACATATGAAGACTATACGACAGAAAACCCTGAGGGGGTGGACTGTAGGGTAAGGTAAAAGGTATCAGGCTTTTCTGCCCTCCCGCCATCAGGATAGATGAGGGAACCCTGTGATCCTGAATGCATGCCTGATGGCGGGCACCTGAAGTGGGTACACCTGCGCTAAGACTGCTTTTTAAGGGCGGCGTCACGGGGACGCCAATAGAAGCCAAGAAGCCGAAGAGAAGCCAAGAGAGAAGCAAAGAAGCAGAAGCAGAGAGCCCAGAGAGAGTGCGGATTTGCCCCCAGCCTCCCAGCACCCCTGCCTGCCATATGCCTGGTAATCCCAATAAAAACCTGCAAAAGCCACTGAGGACTCTGACTCCTTTACTCGGTCTGCTGGATCAGAAAACCTGCACTGGTCCAGTCCTGTCTCTACACTCACTTATTTCCAAGGCACGTGTCATGGCCAATGAAGAACCTTAGCTGATACCTCAAGAGTTTTTAGGTTTGAAGATGAAATGGCTCCAAACGAAGTTATTCTACTTAAGCCAGAAATAAGTAGAGATTCTGATATTGTAATCAAAGCATTCATTTCTCTGCCTCAAGGTCCTGAGGACTGTATTATTTTGACTCAATGGAGGTTTAATCCTCCCGATTAAACCTTAAAACTGAATACTAATCAATTTCAAGGCTAAACATATATTTTCTCACAAACATCACACCTTTCTAATGATTTTGTAGGAATAAAAACTATGCATTGGGCCTCCCTTGGCGCAGTGGTTGAGCACTGGGTTGCGAAGCTGCCCGCAGCCTCTGCAGCGCTGGTTCAATCCCCGGCTGCTGGCGAGGGTCCCACATGGCGAGACAGACCTCTCCTGCCGCGCCCACTGCTCCCCTCAGCAGTGTATTTCGTCAGTCTGCCTGTTCTGTTCCCTGCTCTGGCTCTGGTGAATTCTCTCACCCTCCTGCACTTCTGACTGCTGACTGTGCCCAGTGCTTGTATAAATAAATAAATAAATAAATCTTTAAAACAAAAACAAAAACTATGCATTATTTTAAATAAACTCCTTACTTCAGCAATTCAATTCTAAGTATTATTAGCTCCTCTGTTTCCTGCTCACTCATTTGAGAGCCACACCTGAGAGGGGAGCTTTCTGTTACAGTGAAAAGCTGTTTGAAATAATTATATATCAAATATTTATTTTTGTCTTTTCAGTTGTGGAAGAGAAGGGTGAGCCAATCCTGTCTGAGAGTGAATAGGGTATTGCAAAAGTTTTACAGTGCAGTTCTGTCCATCTGTGATGATGTGGCAGCTGGTGCTACTGACTCACCCTTACAGATGAAGAAATCTAATCAATCTCTTTCACTACTGTAGGGTAAGGAAAAATGTCAGGCTTTTCTGCCCTCCCACCATCAGGATAGATGATGGATCCTTGCGGTCCTGAATGCATGCCTGATGGCAGGCACCTGCAATAGGGTGTGGGCATAAGTAGATGGGATTCACCTGGACTAAGACTGCTTTTAAGGGCGGCATCACGGGGATGCCAGCAGCAGCAGAAGCCGAAAGAAGCAGCCAAGAACGAACAGAAGCCGAAGAGAAGCCAAGAGAGAAGCAAGAGAAGCAGAAGGTGAGAGAAGGCCGGAGAACCCAGATAGAGTGAAGACTTGCTGGGGGCCGGGAGGCCTGCCAGTCTCCCGGCCCCCCAGCACCCCTGCCTGCCGTGTACTGGGTAAATACCAACAAAAAGATTTGCAAAAAGCCACTAAGGACTCTGACTCCTCCTTTACCCGGTCTGCATGGGATCAGAAAACCTGCACTGTGTCCATTCCTGTCCTTATAACTACTCACATGGCACTTGTGAAAGTTTGTGGCCAGGAAACTTACTAGATGATACTTAGAAGTAGGATGCTCTGAACAAGTGAAGTAACCACTATTGGCAACTGCTTCTTTGGAAAAAAAAACAAGGAGATGAAATCATCCAGAAGCAAGTAGTTTGTTTATGGTCCCTTCAAGTGAATTGTCATAGGGGAATAAGGAAGTAGAGGAAAGATTGGTCTTATACAAATGTATAAAAATGGTAATGAGATGATTAGCTAAAAGAAATATTCTGCATTTTTGTTAAATGAAACTGATTGCTTTTGAAAGGCCCTGTCTTTGCAGATTGAAAAAATATGGCTTCAATAAAATAAAAACTGCACTCTGATCTCCCAGAATGCAACTCTAAGATAATAAAATGTGTACATTCATACTTTGGGCTTATAGTGTATCTTTATATTGAAAAGCAAAAGATACCTTTAAGAGTATAATCAATAGTCCTAACAATGGCCTCAAGAGATAAAAGGTAGAAATGAAGGGGGAACTGAGGGACAGAAAAAGTTTAGTGAAGAGAAAAGCTGAGGTTATCAAAGTGTTGCAGAATGATTTCAACCAAGGGTTCTGGATCCCTTTTTATTCAATTCTCTCGCCCTTCAAACTAGTTAGTTTTCTTCATTAAGGTTATCAGATAAAGAATGCTTATGAATTAGCATAGTGTAGGGTAACGTAAAAAGTATCAGGCTTTTCTGCCCTCCCGCCATTAGGATAGATGATGGATCTGTGGTCCTGAATGCATGCCTGATGGTGGACACCTGGAGTAGGGTGTGGGCCTAAGTAGATGGGATTCACCTGGGCTAAGACTGGGCTTTTAAGGATGGCATCACGGGGACACCAGCAGAAGCAGAGAAGCCAAGAAAGAAGCAGAGAAGCAGAACAGAAGCCGAGAGAGAGAGAGAGAGAGAGAGAGAGAGAGAGAGAGAGAGAGAGAGAGAGAGAGAGAGAGAGAGAAGGCCAGAGAGCCCAGATAGAATGAAGACTTGCTGGCGGCTCCCGGAGTCCTGCCAGCCTCCTGGCCCCCAGCACCCCTGCCTGCTGTGTATCTCGTTAATCCCAATAAAAGCCTGCAAAGCCACCGAGGGCTCCAGGACTCCTCCTTTACCCAGTCTGCTGGATCAGAAAACCTGCACTGTGTCCTTCCTGCCTCTACACATAGCTTCCTAATTTGTGTTAGCTTATTTATATAGGTGGAGAAGCTATAAGCTTCTATAAGCTATAAGCTTCTATAGCTATAAGCTCCTCTGATATGCAATGTCATTCATTACAGGGTGATTAAACACTGCTGAAGGTAATGCAGCCATTGACCACTCTGCCCAAGTGCTGAAATGAAAGCTGTTTCCACCCCTTAGTGAATCATAATTCTACTTGGCTAATTAGTCCTTGGAAAACCAACCCTGGGTACACCAGAAGCATCTGGAAAAGCAACAAATTCATATATTCCAAAGTCATCCAGAGCATCTTCATGGCCTGAAATGGAAAATAAATATAACTTACAAAACAAATGCCTTAAATTGCTATTGTCGGCTTTAAAAATCTTTATAAAACTTAGCTTTGTTATTTGTTCAAATGATATCTGTGTTACACCAATTTTTCCTAATCCCCTATAGTCACATTACCATTAATCACTGTTAGAAATCACTCCTTCTGAAGCAGAGAATTGAAAATGAATTGGGACAATTATTCTTAAAGCATGATGTGGGACCAGTGTATTATACATTCAAAATAACACACATGGGCAGGACTGTCATTTGTAAGTCTCAGTTACCAGAGCCTTATAGACATTACGCATTTAGTCTGGGGAGCTGATAGCTGTGATACATTCAAAATATAACACAATATTAGTTATCAACTAAGCTATCATCTGTAAAATAATAGGATTAAGGTTGGCTGGGAGGAATCAGATGGTCTCTGGGACCCTTCACAGCTGGGATGGTCTCATTGGTAAGTGAGAAAGGACAAGGTAACAGGAAGAAGGCACAGATTTATTAAGATGCAGGCATCATGTTAGGCATACCGTCTATGTCCTTGTATCTAATTCTCATAGCAACCCTAGGGGCAAGTTATTATCTCTATTATATAGATGAGGAAGTTGAGGTCAGGAAATATAATTAAGTTTCCCAAGGTAACATGGGGGACAATTGCATATAGTCGCCAAAATCCAGCTCCATGTGACTGCAAGGGAGCAAAAGCCCCCTTGTTGACTTAATAACTCAGTAGGGTGTCAGTTGTGATGGCAATGCGGGGCACAATGAGAAGCAGCAAAACTGTCAAACCTCCCTTTCCCCTTCAACCTGAGAAAAATTGACTCCATTGTATTTGCTGTAGGAATTAACAGAATGAGAGAACTCTTGGGCATTTTCAAAATAATGATGGGATCAATAGATTAGGATTCAGCAGATCTCAGTGATGGTGGGCAAGTGACTTTAATCTCTCTGAGCCTTAATTCTCTTGCTGTAAAATAGAGTTAAGAGTGACTTTCAAGCATTTCTTACACGCTTATGGACTTACATAAAAACAAGGGAGAGTAATTTGTAAAGTGAAGGCGCTGTTTAAAGGCAAGGGATTATCAGTATTATACCAATATTAACTCATGTGAATCCTGTTATATACAATAGTGTATTATATAAAAAAATTAACATCAACAGTATAATTAATATACATCAATATTGATAACATCTATTAACTTTGATAATGATCCCGGTCACTACCTGAAAATGTTTGAGCTTTCTTGTATTCTGTTTCTGGCCTGAAAAGACAAATAGGTATTTCCATCAGTGATAATAATTGAAGAAAAAGCACTCAAGAAAAAAATTACTTCTACAGAAACATATGTATTACCTGCCTTCTAGCTTCTGTTTTATAACTAAAACCAAGAGAAAAAAAAAACACAATAAATACATTTTTGTATATATATAATATCATTAATTTTTTTTCTAATTTTAACTTACCTTTGTAGGGTTGATATTTTTTCCACAGGAAGAGAAGACACATAGATATTATCAAAAATAGTGATATTCCAGTTATACTTGCTAAAGGGGACAATGATTTCCCTTTTTGGGCAAGCTTTTCCAGTCCTAAATAAAAAGAAAAGTATTTTAAATTATTTTTTATTAAATATCAATAATAATTACTATGCAGTTTCACCTGTGTGGGCATATTGGTGAAATGTTTTGGGAAAGACCTCTTCTTGCTCTAGCAGACAAGAGAGAAAAGCCAGCTGCATAGATTTGAAGTCTGTGAAACAGCTATGCAAAATCTACTGCCTGGGGATAAAGCTGGCTTCTTCAACCCCCACTGTTGATGAAAGAATTGGATAAAGAAGGCTGGAGTTAAGACGCAACCTATGAAGCTGTCCGCAGCGTCTGCAGCACGAGTTTGATTCCCGGCCAGGGAGCAACATACATGGCGAGGCAGACCTCTCCTGTCTCATCTGATGCTCCCCTTAGCAGTGTACTTTGGTCAGTCTGCCTATTCTGTTCCCCATTCTGTCTCTGGTGAATCCTCTCACCCCCCACACTTCTGGCCTTGTCTTATATGTATAAATAAATATATCTTTAAAAAAAAAGACTTAAACAATTGGTACCTAACCTTTGGATCCCCATAGTGCATAATTTAGAAACGAAGAGATTAACCCCCAGCATTGCCTTAGATAACATCATCTGTTAGAGATAACATCACCATTTCTCTAGGTAAAAACAACGTAGAACCAGAAGCCCCCATGAAGAAAAATTGCATTTTTTTAATGACAGTTACTCACTATTCCTACCTATATAAACTAAATTCAAATTTGTGATTGTTTGGAACAGAGTAAAATCTATAGGATGGCTTGTGAAGTTCAAATCCTCACTTTGATTATCTTAATAAACTCTTTGTCTAACTATCACTGAGACTTCTAGTCCAGTTAACATATTTTTATGCTTTAATAGTACTACTACTACTACTACTACTACTACTACTACTACTACACACACATATATATAAAACTATAGCTATATTACATATAATATATATTTATATTTATAGAAACGATATTGTAGAGTAATAGAATAACTTCTGCAAATATATATTATACATAAATTTATGCATTTATTTAGAGGAAGAGTGAAGGATAGGCCTCCTCAATATGTTCAGATAGACATTCCTAAAATCTCCAGAACAAGGCTTCCCAAGACGTGTCACTTTGGCATATGGATTATTTCAAATTAAGGCCAATGGAGGTCTTGTAGTTTCACAAGAAAACTCTACCACTTCCGGGCCTCCCCCGGTGGCACAGGCAGTTGAGAACAGAGCTGTGAAGCTGTCCACAGCCTCTGGTCCGCAGCCTCTGGTTCAATCCCAGCTGGCCTGCAAGAATCCCACATGGTGAGACGGACATGGCGGGGCAGACCGCTCCTGTCTCGCCCGCTGCTCCCCTCAGCAGTGTATTTCAGTCACTCTGCCTATTCTGCGCCCCACTCTGTCTCTGGTGAATCCTCTAACTCTCCTGCGCATCTGGCCTGTACCCTGGTTCTTGTATGCATGAATAAATAAATCTTTAAAAAAAAAAACAAAACTCTACTGCTCCCTTAACTACCTAGAAGAATGAAAATTGTGGGTGAATCCAGAATTAGGATTTTTATCAGAAATTACCTTTGTATTGAAGAAACCTATCTATATGGCAGAGAAAACATTTAATTACAGAGCATCTAGTCTTTGTCCTATGAGTTAACCTCTTATATGAAACTCTATGCCTTTCTATTACTTAGCTTAGGTTATAAATATACATATATATAAGCTAAGTAATATATATACATTATATACACACATATATTAATATATTACTTAGCTTAGGCTATATATATATATGTGTGTGTGTGTGTGTGTGTGTGTGTGTGTATATAGTCCCATAGCTTTGGCACCTATATCCATGTAGATTTTCCATATGTATTACATTTAAATTTGTTCTTTAAACAAATTAAATTTGTTCTAATCTGTATGATGTTAATTTGATTACTCAACCAGTTCAAGAAGAACCTAGAGGAAAATTTCCTAAGAAAAATAGAGGGAAACTTTCCTTTCTACTCTCATACTTATTTTAGAATTCATGCTAAACTCGCTAAAAAAATAAAATGAAATGTGCATGAATTTCAATAAAATATTTAAATTTCCACCTTGTAATTAAACTTCACTTTGCTTTGCAAGTCATTCCCTTTATAGGTATTACTTTATAAAATATAACACTAATAGCTAACACCTGCTGAGTGCTAACGGTACCTTAGGTTCTGTTCAAAGTACATGATTAACATGAACCCATTGAATGCTAACAATTTTAATATGGAGGTATTGTTACTGTTATCCCCTCTAATAGACGAGAAAGTCAAGATTTGCTAACGTTATTCAGGTAATACGTGGGAGAATCCAAATATGGCGCCCAGACTCCTAACACTTTATGCTGCTTCTCACTGACACTATTTCAATACAACTTGTTAATCCTGGCAATGTTTATACCAGTTCTAAACTACCATGTTTAGTCATAGAGTTAATCTGTGAAACAGGAATTAGTAATCTCCAACAAATGCGACCTCCTTCCTACAAATGTAGGAAGTAGTTGTAACCTCCAACAAATAACAGATGTCTTCCACATTATTATGTGAATCAAATATTGCTGTGAAAGTAAATCGTGGCAGTTACCTCTGTACAGCTTAATGGTGAGTCAAAATCATGAGATGCCATATCTGCTTTCATTGCTGGAGATAGTATGGAGAATCTGGGTGTGGCTGCTCAGTTCTCCAATAAATATCCAGCCTGCACCATGTTTTCCTCCACTAGAAAGCTTCTGCTGAGGTCCAGCAGCCAAGAAAGGGAGGAAAGCTTAATCTTTCTTTTTTTTTTTTCCACTGTAGACCTATATGTACCCTCTTAGCTTTTCTACCCAGAACACTTTCATTGTTTAATATTCCTAGAATCTTTTCATGATGTAGTGCAGGTCACATATGTGAACTCCAGTTAAAAAGTCTTGGAAACAGTGTTTTCCATTCTAATTTTCCCACACAGAGCTATGCACATATTCCATTTAAGTCTTTAATAAGAGTAAAGCAAAAGTTGTTCTTTGTTATCAAAAATCTTTACCATTTCTGATGGGAACTTTACACATTTCAGATGAGCATTCTGAGAATTATGTTCTTAAAATGTTCTTTCTATGGAATTTCAATACATGTGTAATATGTATTGCCTGTTAACATTTTAAATTCAACTGTTTTAAGACTTTTATGGAAGAAGTAAATGCCAAGGTGGTTAAAGATAAAGTAGAATGGCAATTTGTTGGCGCTAAATCTATACTACGTCAAAAATTCTTATTTGAGAGATGTTTTTTCCTCCTTCTTTCTCTGTTAATAAGTTATATACTAATTAATATTATCCCCCTTCTAGAAAGCTGATCTTTTATTTTGGAACTTTAGCACTTAAATGATCTCTTTGTGAAGTCTTAGCCTTTCTTCAGATATTTATGCTTCTAATTCTCAGGTTTGTTCTCGCTGAACAGCTGGGCAACTCTGGTTGAGCCACTTGCTTCTGAATATCTTGATTTTCACATTGTAAAATGAGGCCATTAAAGTGATTGGTCTTTAAATTCTCCTAGTGTTCTGATATTTTGGGATTTGGGGAAACCAGAGAAGTTTATTATGTAAATAGAACACACTAATTAGTGGCATGGTAGTGACTAAGGCTCGAAAAAATTATATGTACAAATACCCATCCAAAAGTTGTGTTTTACTGATATAAAGGACTGCGACACATAGAAATAATAAAATATGCAATGTGCTTCATTGTTAGTTCTATAGAACTGATTCTCACAGAACGTTTTGATTTTTGCTGAACTCTTACATTTGTAATTAGCCTAAAAGTGAAATTTGATCATGTTTTGGAAAAGTATACTTGAAACAAATGTTTGATTACTATCTAATTAAGCAAAGAAATAGCTTACATCATAAATTAGTTTCAACATGAATGTTGGTTGTTATCTAATAAAATGAAAGTGGAGCAATGGCATATATTGTAACTTCTTTCAGTCATCAACGACACACATGACCTCTTTGCTGAATTCGATAATAGCTTTTGAATATTAGAAGATATTTTCTCAGTTTTTTGTACTATTCATTATACAATGGCTAAAAATACAATAAACTTGTAAGTTTAATTGGTAATTATTATTTTCTCTATCACTTTCTTATATGTAGACAATCTAATTGTAGAGCAACATCCCAAATTTTGAAATACAGTATTTTCATTATCATTAACTTCAAAATATTTTATTATTTTGCTTTTTTTAAAAGATTTATTATTTATTTATTTATTAGAACTGGATGTAGGCCAGAGGTTGGGGGTGCATGTGAGCACAATAGGCAGATCTACTGAAATGCACTGCTAAGGGGTGCAGGGGGTGAAATAGGAGAGGTCTGCTGTGCCATGTCGACTAGCTCCCTGGCAGGGGATGGCACTCAGGCTACAGCGGTGATAGCATAGCTCTGAGACTTAAACCCTACACCATCACTGAAGGCCTATTTTATTATTTTCATTATTTGTCCTATGGGCTATTTAGAAGCATTGTGCTTGATTTCTTTGAGAGTTTTCTCATTTTTAAAACCTCTTATTGATTTTCAGTTTAATTCCACTTTAGTGTGCATATCCTGCTTTGATTTTTCTATCCATTGACATTTTTTGAGTTTTTAAAAAATCTGTATGTTCACATGGAAAGGTGGTTGTATTGTTGTCTGTAGTTTTCAATATAATTTTAATTAGGTCAGATTGGTTTTCTCTATTCCCGCTAAGTTTTTCTCTCCTTGTTCTATCAGTTTCTGAGAGAGATATTCTAAAATCTCCCACTGTAGTTGGATATTTTTCTATTTCTCTGTCAAAATTTGCTATTTATTAAATGTACTTGCAAGCAGGCTAGGAGATTCATAAAACTTCAGAATTTGTATAACTTCCTGACTACTTTACTGGTATGAAATATCCATGTTTTTTAATCTAAAGTACTTTTTGTCTTTAAAATTTATCTAATTCACATATAATTCGTCTGATATTCTTTTGACTTTTT